AATAAATCCTGAAGGGCGGTATAGTTGGGAGCAGAATTGTTGGCTGATCCCAATGGTGGAGTCGTCGACATATTTCCAGCGAGCAGGGGTTTCTCTTAGGGCATCATTGATGAGCATAAGGAAGCAGAGTGGTCCCATCTTGGTGCCTTGGGGGACGCCACAGGTGAGTGACTGAAAGGTGGAGACAGCCCCTCGGAAGCGTACAGCTTGGCGTCGGTCACTGAGGAAGTCTGTAAGCCATGGTATAAGACTTCTCCGAAGCCCGAGGTCAATAGCTTTGTTGATGATTATATTGTGGTCGACTAGGTCGAACGCTTTAGTGAAATCAATGAAGGCGACAGCTACAGACGTTTTTCGTTTCTCGAGATGGCGGTATATGTAATCAAGAAAGCTGACAAGACAGTGAGTGGTGGAGGAAGTTTTCATGTTGCCAAATTGCTGAGGGTCTACGACTCCTGCAATGTCAGCATAAGCCCAGTCGAACACAAAACTTTCACAGATTAGGCTGGGTATTGGGGTGATTGCAATAGGTCGTAGCTGATTTAAGGATTGTGGGCCGGTTGACTTGGGCACTGGTGATACATAAGAGGTCTTCCAGTCAGCTGGGCATCTGGCTTGACTGAGAGAAGCATTGATGATGGAGCATAGGGGTTTAGCAAGCTCTGGGGAGAACTCCTTGAAGAGTTTCATTGGTAAGTCAATGGGGGTGGTAGAGCGTTTTAATTTTAGTTTGTCCAGGCGTTTTGCTACGTCAAATTCTTCTACTAAGTCAGTGGGAAGGGGGGCTGGTAGGTAAGCAGGGAGAGTGGTTGTGTCAAGCCGTGGGAGCGTCTGGCATATAGTAGCGAAATGGTTATTTGTTTGCTCAGCTGCGTCAACATTAGTGAGATGGCTAAGGAAGGGGAGGGGGTGTGTCTTATTGTTTAGTCCACAGAGTTCTTTAAGCTTACCATACCATTGACTGATGTTGGTCTGCTTCAGGTGTTGTAATTTGGTTGGGTAGTGGGACTTCTTTGCAGTGCGTATTTCGCGGATGACTCGGTTGCGAAGGGACCTGTAGCGGATGTGGTCATTGAGATGAAAGGCTCTGTCTCTCTGTTGCATAAGTCTTTTGATCCGAGGTGTGATCCAGGGCAAGTCAGCTGGGTGAGATCTGACGGACTTCTCGGGGAAGAAGTGGTGGTGAGCTTCCGTGGTGGTGTTGGTATAATTTATCCATTTGGTTTCCACGTCATCCACGCTAAGTACTTCAGTCCAGGTATGATGAACTATCCACTGCCCGAAGAGGCGCACTGCAGAGTCAGTAATCGGCCTGTAGGTCTTGATGTAGGGTCTCTGTACTTGAGCGGGAGTGGCAGCTGGGGACCAGAGCACTGATAAGTGTGTGCTACACCCGATAGGAGGCATTGGTTGAGGTGGTAGGTACTGGTCCGCTAAGTCAGTTAAGATAAGGTCAAGGGTATTTTGACCATGTGTGGGGAAGGTCACAACTTGTGATAGTGATAGCTGGTCCTGGATATCAGTGGTGTCAATTTCATTAAAATCCCCACATAATACTAACTTGGCACATGGGTACCTAACTCTGAGGTGGTCTGAGGTGGTGATGAGATGATTGATAAGAGTGTCTCTGGTGGGTGATCGAGGCGGATGGTATGCCACACAGATTATGACGGAAACAGTGTTGCGCGGGTGGGCCCGTAGCACGACACGTACCCATAATACAGGTAAAGGAAATTACTGTCTCTAGAATGAATGACTCTCTGTCCTGGCTGTGAAAATCCCATGCAACTTTAACACTAACCGCAGACACTCTTGGGTACATCCATGGTGTCATCAACGAATAACAGAGGACCGCGAAATAAAAATCCGCGAATTATCAGGGCATACTGTACTGGCATTTGTCCTCTTGTCTTCCCAGTGAACTCGAAAGATGGAATGTAGACTACGTTGGTGAGGTACATTGAGGTACCTCCTGTATGTAACCCATGTCTCGCTGCCATACAGCAGGATGGGGAGGACCACTGATTGGTATACGTGCATCATTATAAGTAATATCAAAGACATGGGTATGGAGTCTGCCAAAGGTTTGAGATGCACATCTGAACCGATGTTGAATCTGTTCATCGATATCTGCAGTGGTGGACAGGTGGAAGCCAAGATACTGAAAGTGGGTAACATTAGAAAGGGTAGTGCCATTAACCTGGTATAACTAGCTTCGTAGAGCACTCTCTCGTGCATGATGACACAATTCATGTCATATTCATGATAAGATCAACTTCACAGTGACGCAAATTGATTCACCAACCTTTAAGAAATTCTCCAAAAATTATTTTCAACACATTTGTGAAAAATTTTGATGCATCATAGTAGCAAGTAAGTTCTATCAAATAAACAAACTGGCAGCTCTCAAGGCCCATAGGAAGGGAAGAATGCAACAACAAATGTGCAATATTATCTCGGCAGTCAGACCGAGAGTGTGAGCTGCGTCCATTTAAATTTCCATAACTCCGTGCGGGCTGCCTCAACTCCTGGATTACAGTGCCTACCCTACTCCCTAAAAAAATTTAATTTTAGTGTTAGAAAAGTGAAGTGATGGTTGCGTAATGTAATATTTTTGTTATATTTATGGGGAAAATGCTTAGTTTTCAAAAGCTGTTATTGTATCAGGCAATACAACCTCATTATAGTGAAAATGTCTCGAAAAAAGTCTCTGAAAGACAATGATTTTCTAAAACTCCTGTTTAGGGACAGTACTGATCAAGTGGAGTGATAATAAAGAGCCTGGTAGTGAAAATGATCATAACAACAAAGAAAGTCATGAATCTGAAGGCGTAATTGTAACGGTTGCATCCACGTATCTTACACCTCACCACCAGAGACTCCCTTTACCACCCTCACACTCTTCTTCACAACAACCTTCCACATCCCCAGCATCTCCTGCATTATGTAAGCCTCATACCACCCGCTACCTCCCTTCCTCACCACCACATGCCTCCCACGGTCACCGTGCAAGTTCCACCTCCCACACCCGACTTATCAGCTATGCTACATTGGAATCCCTCTAGTTCTCTACTCCACACTCACACACCCTCATCCACTCTCCCACACACTCATCCACATCCCCACACTCTCATCCACATCCCCACACTCTCCTATACTCACTCCACACTCCCCTACATTCACTCTCACTCTTACATTTTACTTGAGCTCATTCATTCACTTCCTCCCCCAAAGTCCATCTACAAGATCCGGAAGTGTTCCACCTCGCTGAAGGATGCGAGTACAGAATGATCTTATTTTATATCAGTACAGAATTTACTTTTTTTTTTAATATTTTCTGTTATTTTATACAGTCAACCCTCGCTTTACGCGGTCCCACTTTACGCGTTTCCACGTTTACGCGGTACCCTGCCGAAACCGGAATGCTCACTTTCCGCGGTGTGTGTACCCTTTTACGCGGAGAGCGGCGCGAGCAGGGTGCGCATAAGGTCGCCCAGTCATCAAACATTACCGAGTTCTTCACCCGCCACCCACCACAACCAGCCCAAGTCAGTGATAGTGATAATGATAGTGAGGATATGGACTTATATGGACTTTGAGGGGTTTGACAAAGAGGCCCTGCAAGCCTCTGTGGTGGATAGTGATACAATTGATACAAGTGATACAGGTGAAGGCCAATAATCTGCCCTCTGCCTTGGAACCAACCCCCCATCCCCGTGTGCCCAGCCATCTTTTCTACTAATTTAAGTGTTAAAAAACCTAATATTATTGATATTTCTCTTAATTATTAATTGTGTGTGCATACCATCATAAAATTAAGAAGTTATTTTTACTACAACGTAGGTATTGTGTCTGAAAAAGTGGAGTTTGGAGGTCGGCCCGGTCTCTATTTCAATTAATCCCATATGTTATGTTGTTCACTTTATGCGGGCCGCCGTGTGTTGAATTAACCGCGTAAAGTGAGGGTTCACTGTATTACATTTTATTATCAGATATTGTGTTACACTTGTACTTTCTTTTACTATATTGACAATCATGCAATGCGGTTGAACACCCATCCACCTTTATATATATGATTGTATTTTATATTATATCTGTACTATAGGGTGTCTCAAAAGTCCCCATACTCAAAGTTTGTCAATTTATAGTAGTTTAATGGCTAACGATAGCCATCCATGGTATCACGTGGCATATGCTGGCAACATAGCAGAATATTGCTGAGTAATGTACCGGTCACGTGACTTCGTGCATGAGCGGGTAGAGGGACGTAAGTGTGAGTCAGTCGACAATGAGTCTCAAGCGAGCACATAGGGTCGCTATGTTGGAGGCGTACTTTGAGAAAAAATCTTGTCAACGGTGTGTTGAAATCTTTAAGAGATTCCCTGATAGCCCGACACCATGTATGAACTGGTGATACATTTTTGTGACACAGGAAGTGTGAAAGACAGACCAAGAACTGGGCGGCAGTCAATAGTGACACCAGAGTTTGTTGTAATCTCCCCGTAAGTCATTGTGGAGTTTGTCACAGTAAGTGGGAGCATCTTGTTCAGCCGTTCACAGGGCTGTCAAACATTTAAAGTTACGTTCATACAGAGTCAGGGTAGTGCAAGAGCTGTTCCCGTTGGACACAGACAAGCGTATTCACTACTGCCGTTGGTTCAACAGGTTCACACACAACAATGTCACAGTGCCGGATACGACATTTTTCACGGACGAGGCCTGGTTTCATTTAAACTGGTACGTAATTTCTCAAAATACGCTGCATACCGTACATGTGTGAGTGAGTGAGAGAGTTTTCAAAGGAGGATAAGAAAATGAAATAAAAATTGGTTTAATATTTACAGTAAAGTTGTATACAAATCTCACTAAAAATATATTCTATTGTACAATTGTCATATTATCATGGTGCAGATAAATCAAATAATTAACACTGCACATTTTAAATATTAGACTGATGTTCTGATTCATATTAATTTTTTATTTACTTTTTTATTTTTTTCAGGGTAGCTGTAAATAAAAGCAAATCCACACAATTATTTTTCTTATACTATACTCTACTGTATTCTTATCATTCACTCATTTTTAATTTATTATTAATAATTAATATTTACTTCATTTGTAAGATAAGTGTTATACTAAGGTACAGGGTATGTCTTTTCATATAAATGTCTTAAATCTATTTTACCTCTCACTTCATGTAAGTGATCACCACACATCAGTAGCACAGCCTTATCTAAAAGTCACTTGAACCCATTACGTCTCTTATTCATGCATAATGTTACTCCATGGATGTCCAACTGCATCTCCTCATCCCTCTATCAAAAATTTTCCATTCTCTATATCTATTCATACCATCTGCAAAGACATTGATCCTCTCTGTAACACCTCTATCATTTCCACATCTGCCTCTTACTGTTCTCACCATCATATAAAAGAAATCAGTAAATGCGTGTAATTACGAAAAAAGTTATACATCAAACAAATACCTTGTGCAGAACCTTTTAATGGGGGTTTATAATACATCAAGTGAATACACCATCAGCGATTGCTGTCATGCCGAGTCCTTCAAGTGTGTAGAGAAGACACTCCTTATTGGCTTCATCACCATCATTTTCCACCCAAAGCTTCAGCATAAATGCCACCTGATTTTCCACACTACCCTCCTTTTCTGCCTTATCTTTTTCAATGAATTCAATCTGTAAGCCAGAAAAATACTTTTTACAGTATGAACAAAATCAATTATACAAAGACACAAGGGAAATTAGTTTTTCAAGAGAAGTTCTCCATTGTCTTTATAGACACCTGTAGCATAAATTTAAGATACTCATCCTTTTTTGAAGTGCCAACATGAAGGAAAATTAAGAAAATCCTATCTTATTGTTTGATGTGGTTTGAGCAACTCATGCATAATCAGTGATAGGGACTGATTCAGCAATTACTTTATAACTTCCAAGCATATACAGGACTCAAAAGAGGGGCTCAATAAAGACAAGGGTTACCTCTAGGGCTGAAAGCTTCATTTATTCCGAGTATATTGCATAAATATGTTTGAGTGCTTTAATTTGATTTTTTTTAGAGAACCACAATACAGAATTAATTTTATCTTACTAATTTTGTTCAAAATCTTATTACATGTACTCCTGAACATGCAAATTAAGGATCTGTTGTCTGCAATTGGATATCTGTATAATTAGTAGACCAAATGACCTCTCAATAATTTTTAATACTTTTCTAATTCTAGTTTATTTAATGCTAATTATTAGCTGCCTATGGTTTTTCGAGGTCCCTTTTTTGGTGTTTAGTGTTATTCTGGATGTACAGTACCTAAGTAGTTAAACACAATAAATTTAAATTCTATGAAAGTGTTTTTCCTATAAGGCTTACCGTTTCAGGATTAATCTTATCTCACCAATTTTGTTCAAAATCTCAATATACAGTATGTACCCCTGAATTGAATAAACATATCAGATGGTACTACTCAGTCCAGTGTATATAACTGGAGCTGGCGGACGCCCACCCCACAAAGGGTCACAGCTCAAAGTTGAAGAAGCCACAAGTTCATAAAACTGTGAGGGCAAATGTTTTTGGAGTGAGAATTGTGACCCATCTGCCAGAGTATTGTGATGGCACCAAGTAGGAGCTCTTTCAAGACCAGACTTGACCAACACTGGAGCAAGTTCAGATACATTCAGGAGCCGGTGCATGCCCAGTTCTTGCCAACAGTGCGTAACAGAGACGTGACCGACCGCCCAAGCGGCTAACGAGCTGATCAGTGGCAGAGGATAAAAGTGAAAAGCATGACTAGACATACGCTCACAAGCAGCAGATGCTGGTAGTGGGGTGTTAAGCTTGAGAGTTATGTCACATAATGTCGGGAAAGACCTCAGTTTCATAACCCGGGCATGTCAAGTACCTATCAAGCTCCTTAGTTGAGAAATTTGTGGATGGTTGTTGCCTCTGTAGCAGCGAATAAGGAAATGGTGGCATGGGAGCTTAAACTCCGTGTTCGTCGCTTGGGTACATTGATGAAATGATATAAAAGAACGCGTGTGATTGGGCCAGACATGAAGAGACGCTTGTGATTGGATATTTAAAACTCTATTGTTTGGGGCATGTAACAAATAATGATATTTGCTTTTTAATTGTATTGGAGTAAAAGTATTAGAAAACCATACTTAAGTAAAAGAACTGAAAAATTTGAGTACTTTTAAAAAGTAAATACCCAAAATTGATACTTGAGTACAGTACTCAAGTAAATTCACCTAGTTACTTTACAACTCTGCTATTTACATTAATTCTTATGTGGAAAATTGCCCTGATATTTGCAAATTCATTACAGTACAGTATTTGCAATGATTTTTAGGAACGCTTCACTTGCGATAACCGAGGTATTCCTGTTTATGTAATATTTACAAAGCAGAATTACAGCACAGTGAACCCTCGAAGATCTGGACTAAAAGGGGGGATCACCTGTCCGAAAAAGCCGATTGTCTGAATCTTCCGGCGAATGTACAAAATTAATAAAGACGATAAATAATAATATAAAAAACACCAAAAATACAGTACTGTACATATTATCCTGACCACTGGGGTTAGTTAAACAGACTTTTTCCTGTGAAAAAGCCATAATTTTAAGCAACATATTACTGTACTCACTTTGTGCTGAAATGTTTTACACTGAAAGACTAAAATTTTTATCTCTTGTGCAAACTATGTGACGTTTATACTCAAATTATTCGCTGTCTTGCAAGAATTCCAGCAACGTAAGCTATATTCTGCTAATTTTAGTCTGTGACATTTTAGAAGAGAAAAACTTTAAGCTTAAAACTACCTTCACCCTGTTTTGGGGATGCTTCTTAGGGAGGCTTCTAAGCCCAGAACCCCCAAATTTTTTGTCTGAATTTTCTGAAATCCGGATTTACTAGGTCCGGATCTTCGAGGGTTTACTGTACAGTACTGTACACCAGACCATCGCTTTATGTGCATTCACTATATGGGAATTCGCATTTATGAAGCGACCCTTTTTCTACCCATAATCCATTTAATGCGGAAAATATTCCCTATTATGTGTTCTGTAGAAGATATGGCGTACTAGTTTTATATTATTTTATATTATATTACATTTATTTCTAAGCCACATTAGAGTATTTTAATTATTTTACTACAACTTTCATAGCATTAATGATCTAGAAATGGTTGTGAAACGTGGCACAGTGAGTGTGTGTGTGTTTACTGCACCCATGTTCTTCGTATGTCTTAGTTTATAGTTTTATATTATATTATCTTTATTTCTAACCCACATCAGAGTTTTGCAATGATTTTTCCACAGCTTTTATAGCATTACTGTTCACTTTTAGTAGTTGTGGAACATATCCTAATTTTCCCCATAAGATTAAGTATTCACTACATGCAGATTCCCATTATGCTGTGTTGTCACAGTACACAACCCTAGCATAAAGCAAGGGACAGGTGTACATTAAAAATAAATTATACCCTCTCACTACCAGGCCAGGGAGGGAAATTTCCAAGCATCCCCTCCTGCAAAATATTCGTCATCCAATGAGCATTATGATATGTTAATTTTTCAACTTGCAAATTCGGGTAAATATACTGTATGTAATTTTCTTAATTTTTTTTTATTCAGTTACATGCACAGACCATGCTACATACATGCATATTAGGTGACGACGTCTGTTTGGAAGTGACTCAAATTGGCCCAGAAAAACTAGTAAGATTGGTAAGATTTTAGCCAGTGAGTAACACAAGACGGGATTTCTCTATTTAAATTTTGGAGAATCGAATTTTATGTTTGACTGTACTTCAATACATTATCCTGATAAATAGTATTATTAAATCCCTGAAAGAGACATCAGTTATTACCATGCAATGGGCTTACCTCATCATTTGCAAAACCAAGCTTCTTAGCAAGGAGCTTCCACTTATCTTGCCCCAGTTGATCCAAATTCTTGGATAGGGCTTTTTGCTCTTCCTCAGTTATGGCCTTGATCTCTGGTCGTTCCTCATCCCCTCCTTCTTCTTCCATATCCTCCTCATCCTCCTTTACCCCATCATTTTGCTCCAGCACAGGAATAACCTTTTCTTCTTCTTTATCATCATCTTCTTCTACTTTAATATCGGCTGTTAGTTGTGACTGAAAGAATGTGATGATACAATGAATGGAAATAAAAGATGTAAGACAAACACAGTACAGGTAGGTATCCCTCGCTTAACATTAAGCCAAATTTCTTATCTAGAATAACATAACAAATGGGAAAAATAGGATTCGGTTCACGAACAAAAAAACTCCCAAACCAATGAAATAGAACACAACTACAGTAATTTACTTCCAAACACATTAATAAAATTTATAAAATTCAATACTGTACAATAAAAAACCCAAGTACTGGAGCACCTGAGTAACGACACGTCCAAGTAATGATACAAATTTTGTTTTAATTAAAAATAATATCTCATTGTTATTGTTATGGAGCAACATTATGTGGACCACATGGCCCCACCTGCACCAACACAGCCGTGCTGTACTCTACACGTGACTGTTACTTAGTGCAGACTTGCCTGTTCTCTGATGACATACTATAAATAACATACACTGTGAGAACCACTTTCATTATAAAATTTAAAATTAGGGATATTAAATTCATAATAGTGTTTTAATATACTCTGAGTAAGGAAGATTTAGAGAGAGGTTCAATAATATTTTGTCCTGTGCTAGTAATGAACTAATAGGAAAATATACATTAATAAAATGTGCAAAAAACTAGCTGCACATATTTACCTGTCACTGAACAAAAGCAGTTTCTTCAGAGCTATCTGAAATGGCTGGCATCTGTCGCGTTTAAATCACATACATGTTCTCGTTTTCTACCTGGTATAATGGTCCCAGCCAGCCCACTGATAAATATTGCATTAACCTCCTAGAATAATATAAGTAGTGCAAGGTAAGATGGATAATTTGTATACAAATGTTATTAACACAGGTAGCACATCCAGAGATGTATATATGATTCATAAACGAAATTAGATACATAAAATAAGAGGTTAAACTCACGCCAAATATCAAAAGAAAATATAAGTGTTACCCCTTAAAAAAAACGAACAACCTCTTCTCATTTTAACAATGGCTAGTGTAGATTGACGATTATTATTCAATTCATGATGGCCGAGCAAGGTCTGGTCTCTGAAACAGGTACTCAGCCCATCAGATGGCAACTCTCACCAGAAGAGATTTAACCCTTAGGCCCCAGGTGACGTTCCAGAACGTCCGCCTATTCTCGCTACTTATTTTATTATTAAATATTTTTTAATTATTTTTAGAAAACTTTATTTTTTCTCAATTTATCCCCCCGAGGGGGGGGGGGGGTTAGTGCCTAACCCGGGGCTTAAGGGTTGATAGAAAAATACCTTGCAAAGAAAAATAACTATACAATGTAAGTATACACCTAAACCCCGACTTACGACGGGGTTAGGGACCCAAATCCAGGTCGTAAGTCCGATATGGTCGTAAGTCCGATATAGATAAAAAAAAATTTTTTTTTAATAAAAAATCTACAATGAAATACAGTACAGTAAAAGTAATAAATAATGATGAATGGATACAGTACAGTGAAAGTAATAAATAATAAGGAATGGATACAGTGTGACTGAGCACTTAACCTTTAATGTAGTCAGCTGAATGCACATGGGGCCCCCATAATTTTCTAATTATACATGGAGACTACATTAACTGGAAACTTTTCGGTATAGAAAATGCGTGTGTCATTTAAAAAAAATTTTTTTTTTTTTATCTATATCTGAGGCGGTCGTAAGTCCCGACGGTCGTAAGTCCACGTAGTCGTAAGTCGGGGTCTAGGTGTATATTAATACAGGACAGTAGAACGTCAATTTAATTCAAATCTATTTAAAATTATTGATTTAAAGCGACACCCACAATTAAGGACATTGTATCAATTTAATGTAAATCTTTCCTAATTTACTCGAACCAAATCTGGCGCATCATATGGAAACACAATATTTTAAGTTTCGCGCCTTATGTTTCCCGCCAGACACCTCTCTGGGCATGCTACACGGCTGCCAGCCACCCTCCCGAATCCTCAGTTCTCGCGCTGACGCTCTAGTGAATGGACATTCTGTGTGACACTATCTCCTTCCACCACGTGCATCAACCATTGCCACTATGTCCAAGAGGCCAGCCACTACATCATTAACTGGCCTATCTACATCTGGGCAGACACGGCCGTCATCCAGTGCTTCCCGCGTGTCAGGTGCCTCCACAACCACACCACCAGACAGTGATGTGGATGATGAGCTGGTTGAGTTGGGCTCTACATCTTCAGAGGATGACTTGCCTAACTAAAGGTGGGTGAAAATCTATTTTTGATAGCATAAAGTAATGAAAAACTAAGTTGAGAGGAAAGTAAAAGCACTTGGGGAGGGCCAGTGATGCGAGGCAGGAGACAGTACAGTGCAGTACCACCAGAGCTGGATTACGGGGTTGGGGGGCCCTGGGCGACACCAAGCAGTGGGGGGCCCCCTGCTGACAACTGAAAATCAATATAGGTAATATCCAAGGTCAATAGAAACAATAAAATCTAGTAATAATGACACATTTACAAATTATTTGTTCCAATCAAAGAAAGTGTATACATTCATTCACAAATGCACTTTTCGTGATTTTTTTCTAGCAAATAAACGTATCACATTGTCAAATGGAAGTTCTCTTGAAATGTCTGACTCGGTGCTTAATAGCATCAGATTGTTGAGTCTCTCCTGGCGCATCGTGGTCCGCAGCCTGTTTTTGATCAGTTTCATTTTTGAGAAGGAACGCTCCCCGGTAGAATTGGAGACCATTAACACCAGATATATCCTCAAAACCGTTTCTACGTTTAGAAATGCTGATTGTAAGCCATCGTTTTCCTTTATAATTCTGTAATAAAACGACTCATTGGGCTCATCCGCGGCTTTTGCATACAACTTTACCAGAGATGAGAAGTGAATCATTTCATTGTAGATGTTTTCATCAATCTCTTTTCCATAATTTTGCAGAAGATTTTCTGAAGCAGAATGAATGGCATCGGCTGACATGGTTTCCAGATTGCTTAAAAAGCCAAAGCGATCCTTCACCAACGTGTATGGAGAAATCCTTTCTTTTAGGGATACCACTAGGTGATCAATGTCTGTGAGGAAGCATTTAGTTCGATAATTGTCTCTTGGATCCACTTCATTTGAACGTTCATAATCCAGTGGAGCAAGCTGTACGCTTGATCGCCTCTGACGACCTGAATGGACAAACTCAGTGCTTCCTGCCAGATCTTTTGCTTTTTCCTCATAGGCATCAAAACTGTCTCGCTTTCGTTCAAAGAAACATTTCAAGGAAACCAGAGAATTTACTGCTGATTGAAGAATTAGTTTTGGATCTTGAAGAAGTTTGTGTGTAGTGTTCACTTATTTATACAGCCTTATTATTATTTTATTATAATCTCTGTTAAATAAGTTAAATCAGTTTACCAAACATGAGTTTTAGTAGGAAATATTTGTGGCGGCCTGGTGGAGTTAAGGAAAGTGGTGCACAGCGAGTGTTAGGCAATCTGTTCCACTTGTTTATTGCTCTGTGGTAAAGGTTTTTAAAACTTTTATTTTACAATGTTGTGGGCGGGCCCTGGGCGTGCGCCCGGTATGCCCTCCCCATAATCCGGGCCTGAGTACCACGCAGTAACAGTACCATCCAGCTCTCAACTCGACTGCAGGGAGTGCTTGCTGCATATACAGTCAACCCTCGCTTTACGCGGTCCCACATTCCGCGTTTCCACGTTTACGTGGTACCCTGCCGAAACCCGGAATGCTCACATTCCACAGTGCGTGTACCCCTTTACGCGGGTGAATTATAATTTTTTATTTAGCTCATAAAATTCATACAAATTATCCGGCCAGAATATAATTTACATTGCTGGAATTTTTACAATTTGATGATCATTTTGAATATAAACATCATAGATTTTGCATTAGACATACAAATTCTAGATCTAATGTTTACTCTGAGTAAATATGTTATCTTTTGTGCAAAATATATGACATTTATATTCAAAATATTCCTGGTCTTACAAGGAATCCAGCAATGTCAATTATATTATCCTAGCTTTAGTTTGAGGTATTATTTATTACTATACCTTAAAATCTAGTGGTTTTCCCCAAAAAATTTCTCAGAGATGGAAGAGCCAGCGAGTGTAGTGTGAGAAGAGGGGGAGGGAGTTGAGTCCATTATTTGAATGGACATTAACTTGGCAATTGTATTTCTCTATTTCTCTTAAGTATTAATTGTGTGCATGTACCATCATAAAATTAAGATGTTATTTTTACTAGAACATAGGTATTGTGTCGGAAAAAGTGGAGTTTGGGGGTCAGCCAGTCTCTATTTCATTTAATCCCATATGTTATGCTGTTCACTTTACGCGTTTCTCACTTTCCGCGGTACCCTGTGGGTTGAATTAACCGCGTAAAGTGAGGGTTCACTGTATATCATTACGCCATATATTTTTCTCATTTATTAGATAATAAAAGTTTTTTAGTGTTTTGTGTCTTTCTCAAGTACCAAACTAAATTATTCCATTGAAACAACACTTCGATTAGGTGCGAATTCGATTTAAAGTGACCTCTCCCGGAACATATCTCGATTTATATCGACGTTCTACTGTACTAGGTAAATATACTACAACTACAACTAATGAAAAACTGTACCAATGCATACACCCATTTTAATTATCAAGTCTTAAAATATACACTTTATTAAAGTATTTGTAATATTGGTCTAACACTTTGAGCAGTGCAAGGGGATGAAACATGGGTTTCGGGTACCTAGGTTTTTTGGTCATGAAATCGCTGGTTGAGAGTTTCTGCTTTTGAGGGCTAACAGTCTCCTTGGTTTTCATTATACTCCTGGCATATGCATAAAAGAACTAGAGATTTTTCTTTTGCTGTTTGGCTGGTCTAATTTCCTGATTAGCCAAATTTAGGACTCATCTGCATGACGCCCTGAGCTACGGTATTTCTTCCACATCTATTATTTTCTCCTGCAGGCTTTCCTAGAGCTGTGATTCATGCACTTGGTCTTATTCCTTCTTCTTTATGTTTTAGTGG